TAACTTGCCCAAGGGAGATGAAAATACAGTGCTTCTCCAGAATTCGGACTGTTCTGCTCTTCCTTGATACACATTTGGGTTGGAGCAGCAGTTACATGCAGGAGATCAGATTGTGGTGTTTGTGGCCAGGTTTTCACAGGAGCTTAGTGATCAACGTGCACTCTTTCAGAATTCTGGTTTTCATGTGTGGTTGCTGAGCTATTTTTGAAAGCCTGTCTGGCTGCACGAAACATACTTGTTAGCACTCAGTTGCTTATCTACCTAGTATATGGTTAGTTATGTGACATACAAAACCAAATGCAGTATTCATCTTCCACAATTAAATAAATATTATAAGCAAATACTTAATAATCAAACCAGTAAGAAACAAAAATAACCAAGGAAAACAGACACAATCAATTCAGAGTTTAAAATCTTGTAAAAGAAATCACAGAGGTTGCAGTTTTGCAAAATATATGAACAGATACTCAATCCTGTCTGTTCAGGAAATCATGCTAAGCAGATACCTTCAACTCACTGATTCCAATGAAATTTACACTTCATGAGTTTGAAAGAAAAGAAAGAGGGAGGTTAAAGTTGGCAGAGAAGTAGAGAAAGTAGGAAAAAAAAAACAAGAAAAAGAAAACACGCACAAAAAAAATTGGTACATTTCAAAATACAGCAAAAGACATTTGAGCCACTGGACAATTGTTCAGTAAATGTAAAAAAAGCAACATATGATGAAAACACAAAAAAGCATCAATGCATTCAGTTTGGCACCTTGCTATTTAGCGGCATAAAATGATGATATTCAAGCCTGCAACACCTGTGCTCTGAAAATGTAGTCCATTCAGTGAAAACTCTGTAAAATGAGATTGTACCCTTAAAAGTCTAAAAGTGTAATCTCAAAAGTGTAAAAGTGATTACACTCTTTCCAATGAGATTGTAAGTTTTAGAAAAGATTTTTGGAGATCTGTTGGTGAAAAAGGACTGCATCAGAAAGAGATTTTCAGAGTGCTCTTTCACAACAACTTCCTAATTTTTTGACTGCATCTTTACAAAAACCCTGATTTCTATGTTACCCTTGGCAAAGAAAGGACAGAAGATTCCAGCTTTTAGGCATACATTGCAACATAACCAAGGATGAAAGAGAGGAACATGTTAATTTTAAAACAAATTCAAGAATGCATATACAAAACATGGATATTAAGAAAGATGCTACATTCCAGGGCTGGAACAGACTTCAAGAGATTATGTCACTGATGCCTTTCCCCTAAGACAGGTTTTAATGTAAGCCTGGAAAAGAATGAGAAGAACTGAATTATGATCCAGGATTTTCGGTCAAGTGCAAAGATGAAGCATCTGACCTGAAAAGCCACAGCTCACTTAGGGAAATTCCCACTGATCATCCTAGACTGCTACCAGTTCACAAACATAATTATGATTACTAAGTTCAGATTCATAAATTAAGCACTTCTAGATGAATCACAACACCTATGACATGGCTTTTTATGCATGCTGAATGCTCCCACAGCTATTCCATGTCTAAACCACTGAGAACAACTTGATAAAACATAACTAAAATTCCCAAGTCTTCACTTATGTCTCAGCCTAACTTTTAAGAACTATGGTCATCATTTTGTGCTAATTAATATTATTTAAAACCAAGTTTCAGCAAAGCACCATTTTAAAAGCTTCAAGATTGGAGTTCAGTTAAAAAACAGCAGAGACTTGGGCTCAAGTTATATGAATTCTCATTCCTAACTGTGCTACAGATTCCGAATGGGATTTTGTAAACCACTTTATCACACTGCACCTGGATTTCCATCTGTAAAGCTTCCAAATTGCACAGTAAAGGACTTCAGATTATTATGTAGAGTGCTGGATATATGCACAGCAGCTCTTCACATTATTGTGAAGATCTTATATTAGGTGCTTTTAGGCTGATCTACAGCACAAGTCAAGACTTTTATCTTTTTTCTAATTCCTTAAGAAAAAAGAAGAAAAACAGAAGATGGTTTCCTGTTCTGCCAAAAGGAAGAGAGGGTGGGTGCAAGGCTAACATACAAAACATGCCCAGGTTCACCACTCTTCCTGTTTGTCTCTGCAGTTACATGACAGATGACTCTTAGCTACTTGCAGCTTTGCTAATAATTTGAATCTTGGCAACCACTTTCTTGCATGGTCTGGGGAAGAATAGTGTCTCACTCCAGAGTAATGCCTGAGCACCAATACTGCTGCCTGAGGGCTACAGGCAGGAAGTGCAGCTGCTGGTCCATGAGAGTGAAAGTGACTTATCTACAAAGAGATTTTTATACTTTACATTTACAAACCATATTTAGGCTTCTAAATTCAAAGCATAAACCTAACTTTAGAAGGATTTTGGCGGGAGTTTAGCAGCCTTATATCTTTTCACCTCCTTCCAGAACTACTGACAAACACACAAAGTGGGAAAAACAAATTATAGGCAACAGTTTTATGCCTTCTGATTTTCTTCTTTCTTTTGCTGAGAATCATAGCAACCTTGATGTCTGAAAGTCATAGACAGAGAATAAATATGAAACACTTGATCGAATTTTCCAGGTGGAATTGAGTTTTTCACAGCTTTGACATGTTAGAATCTTTTAACTCTCAGAGATCTTGCTGGTTGCCAGAAATCAATGAAACCTACAGCCTCATTCACTAAAAACCAGAAAAATAAGATGCAGCATACCAGAGAAGGTAATACAGAACTAGTTGCTTGAATCCACCACAGTACCATATGCTGCAAATAGTTCCAGACAGGATGTCTGCCTGCAGCAGTGTGTGCACATCAGCTTCTTTTCCTCAAAGCTCCACAGCAAGAGCAATACAATGTAGCAGAAGTAAGGGTTAGCAGCTCTGCAATTTCATTACAACTCAGACCTCTGTTCAGCACTATGTTGTATTCTCTATGTGCTGTACTTTTAAAGCACATTCATTTCTGCGTAATCATTTTATACTATTTCATGTTTTAATTCAAGCAGAAAAATTAGATGCGGGCTATGAGAAACCAGATGACTTGTGCAGAAGGTGAAATAAAATGATTGGAATGCGGCATTATGTCATAAAAGCCTGGCATTAATAGGCTTGGCTGCAGTAATATGGGTCAAATTTGACCACCTTACAATGCTTAGCGCCTTACTTTGCCTGTGAACCTACTGCTGTAATGAGTAAGGCTGTCTGAAGAATGATGGACTGTTTACCACATGTGTGACAGCATTTATGGATACACATTCACCTTGAATGCCACGTAAGAAACATAAATGAACAGACTTAAGGCAAAGTTCAGAAATTCTAGCTACTTACAAGGCAGCTCACAACAACAAGAAATGTTTAGCACATACTCTAACATAAGCAAATAAGATCCAGCACTGCATCTTCACAACAGAGAGGACAATATTTTTACAGCTTCCATCCCTCTGCTTTCCAAGTGAAATAACCCTTCTGTAGTTTCCTCACAACAGTGAATTGTGCAAGACCACTGCAAGGACACACAGGAGAGACTGATGCAAAGAAAAATTCTGATTAGGTAAACAGAAAGTCTCTTTCCTCTTTTGTTTTATTGTTTTTAGTTCTTACCATTAAGCTGTTACCTTTTTCATTTTACTTACTCAAAAGTTTGCAAATTAATGCTTAATATCAGCTCAAGCTACTAAAGACAGGTTTGGGAAAGGTTTAAAGTGAAAACCTTCAAATTTCGAAGTTCATCATCTAGCTAAATGTATGGTGTTCCTAACAGCATTCAGGGAGCTTTTGCACACTCAAAGGCCATCTAGTGACTAAAGTTAAAAGTCATACACTTTTAACATGGGAATATTCAAGTCATACTACCCATCAAACAATGGCACAGGTATTTCTACACAACAGACCTGTTCATTAAGACTAAAGAACAGAAAGCATCCAAAGTATGAAAGTTTGAAAATAAACATAATTTTTTTAGAAGTAAGGACTCTATTCAAAATGTATCAGAAGAAATTCGTGGTGGATACTACATTCAAAACCTTCTCTTCCATGTCCTACTCAGCTGAACCTTGAATGTAACACAAATCTACTTCCAGCTGCTGGGCATTTACAGGAATGTCTGTGTTAGGTACTCTCAGCATCATTACGAATCACGAATGTGTTTTGAGGTATGATCCAGCAGATGTGCTGAACCTTCTCAGCTCAGAAAAATGGAAAAGAGCCTGCTGAGTTCCTAAAACTTGGTTGTGCAATTAGTCTAGCAAGATTAACAGCAGGAGAGATACTCTGATTTCCATCCCAGCCTAGGTCAGAGCCTGCTGATCGTGAAGAGTGCGTTATACCATGACAGTATATTGCACTGGTGTTACCACAGGCAGCTTTTACTTCCCAGGATGGGCACACCTGGGGTAGCTTTTGGTCTGATGATCTGTTAATGTCAACTCCTTATGACCATTTTGTACAAGATGGATGGCAGAGTCACCCGGGCCACAGAGCAATTCCTGGATGACAAAAAAACACCAAATCAACATTTCTGGTTGAAAAGCATGATGTGTGGTCTTAGGAGCATAATTTCCCTGAAGCTATAACATTAATGTGATACAATAAAGAATCAGGCCTTAATGTTCTATGACAAATTCATACTTAATCAAAACAGGTTGCATTTCAGCTTACCGTGAGACAAGTAGATGGATAAAATCTGTTATACTGTCATCTCAGTAGACATCTCTCTGGTCATTTTGTATCAGCTTCCTTGAGTATTTTTATATATCTGTGTTGGATGGTCCTTTAGACTTTTACAGACCTAAACTGACCACTTGAGGGAGTTACCACTCTAGGCCATTTACTATTGACTCAATTATTAAAAAGGATTCTCAAAGTTCACCCCCGAATCAAGTTATTAAAAAGAATAAAGAACGTTACCCCAAATTTTTCCATTCCTTTCATCAAGATCAGATTTTTAACTGTTTTTCCCCCCTTCTCCAAGTAGCAAGAACTCAAGAGGCAGTATCAAAATCATGCTGATAAACAAAACATGCTGTGCAGTACTTGTGTAGCGAGACTTTGAAGTTTGCACATGGTTAAGTGGGATTAAGTCTACACTGGCATTGTCAATGTCTTCAAAATATACTGCACCAGCACAGCCGCTGTTCGGATAGAAGTGAAACCAAAAATATGTACATTATTCATAAGACAGCTGGTGGAGGCAGCTGAACAATATACTGCATGCTCCAAAATTCTAATTATTTATTAAAATGGTCCACAAGAAAAAAAACCACAGAGGTGAACTGCCCAGTGTGCTTGGCATGTCCCAAGATGAAAACAAGCATCTGCTGAACTTGCAGCACACAATAAATGACAGCTCTAGTACATATGTGAAGGCAAAAAATGGAAATAAGATAGAAATGTGTCATCTCTCTCCTTTTGGCTATGCTCATAATCAGATTGGGATATTCTTACAAAGAGGAGATAATAGATTCTGATTTCTAGTTTACTGGTAAAAGGCTGGAGACACCCACAAGCCAAGGAAACATCTACAACTCGTTTCAGAAAAAGAGAGAGGGACTGCTTGGGGTAATAAAATATGTAGAAAGTAGAAACAATCCAGGGACTTTGTACATATACAAAGGAATATGACAGGTTCAAGAGCTTCAGCTTACACTGTTAAAGACAAAATAGATCAATCACTTTTTTCTCACCAGACAGAACATTCTGATAGAATATTTATGTGGTCCTAAAAGACAGGTGGTTACAAGTCAAGGTTTTGCTCTTGGAATGATGCAGTGCTCATGTGAATTTGGTAAAATACTGTGGTAAATAATTAGGTTGGCATGTATGCTAAATGAACCAGTTCATCAGGGAGAATCTCGCCTTTTAATCTCCTCAGATACTGGAACTTCAGTAAATTTCGTAAGCATGTTTTCTTTATAAATGAACTGCTTCTCTTACTGTAATACTTCTCTCATTCAGTTCTTGAGAACACAGGGCAACTTAACATCAGGTCTGAATTTCTCTCTTGGTCTCTCCCTGCAAGCGACTCTCACCGTCCATGTCTACATTCCTTTGAAAGAGTAACATTCAAGAAAACATGATAGCATTTTCTATCTACCTATAGCATTTTTCTTCCACCCTGCAGAGGTACCTGTCTCTCCTGTCTCTCCCATTGTATGCCTGACTGTGCCCAGTAACACACATGTGCACTGGGTTTGCCTGAGCAACTCAGCTGTCTCATGGCCTGGACAGACAGATGTGTTAGCTTCCAGCAGGGGCAAGAAGTCATCTCTGCTCCTTATCAGACTTGTCAAACAACCTGGTTCATTCTGCCATCCCCATGCCCACCTCTGTGTTAAGCCCTACAAATAGAATAAAACATGCAAATTGGATATGGGGGCTTTGTCACCAGGTTCCCAGCTACAAATATACCTGCATGGTCAAATTCTGAGGTCCTCTCAAACACTGCAAAGAAAACTTGAGACCACAGAGAAAAGGGTAGAAAATTCTGTTGTCATATGAGTGAGAGAAGGGGACTCTACAGGCAAACACTGTCAAGACCTTGTCTTCCAGCATTGAGCACCTTCCCTATACTGACTCAAAACACATGAAGGATAGTTCTTCGGCTGTCTCTTTCTCTGGCAGGCTTTGATTCTCCAGTCTTAGAACAACCTTCATTGTCAGTTTCTTGCATTTGCTTTGCTGTTACAGAGCTTCCCTGAGTTTGCTTTGCTCAGCAGGTGCAAGAGCCTGCTAGGGAAGTTCAAAGTTGTTGACTGCCAAAGCCATAGCACTACATCTTCTCACAACAGAGAAGCTCCTGTCTGCTGCAGATGTTTTATAAACCGCAGCTCATCCGTATCAAAGACTGCTTCTGTCTCCATTTTTTACATTCATCCCAGACACAGTGGAGAAAGTGACTGTAGAATTTGCTTGCAAAGTGCCTGACTGATCTCTCTTTCAGCACAACTTCCCCAAACAACTTAGCTGTGGAATGTCTTGGGACTCACATCTAGAAAGATTAGCAACTTACATCACACAAAGTGCCTGCAGGTTGGTAGTTGGGCCCTGAATTATATAGCTAAAATCTGGAATTCATTTATGCAGTCTTATTAAAAATAGTAGCTAAAAAATAATCTACCTTTTATATCTATATTTACTCATTTGTAGTTAATATCTCAGCATCACAGGAAAACTAGTAAATGCATACTGTGTTTGGAAGAACACTTACACAACTTTCCTTAAGAAATTTATACTGGACCATGCCTGTTTCAAGGTTAATCCAAGGGTTAAATTTGATTTTTTCTGACAGCTTCAGTGGAGTAGGCATTTCACTCTAATAGTGAACTTTACCCAAAAAAAAAAAGTCACCAGAAAGCCAACAGACAGTTTCTATCTGCTTTCTGGAACTACTCTCCATTTCAGACCACTTTCTTGACTGTAACCTGGATTACTGACTTGATGACATTCAGTTTCAGATTTTGTCAGTGTTCATTTCAGATGTGTCCCTATCTGACACAGTATATCTCTGTCTCTATCTGCTTTTATCTGCATTGCAATACTTAATGGTCAGATAGAACTGCATATCTCAAATATTCTTTCCCCTTCACTTTTGCAGAAAAAAACAGCTGAACAGTTCTGACTGATGTCTGAGGTCTAATTTCGTATGTTAATGAAGAATACAGTAACTGAGAAATAAGAGTAAAAATTACATGGGATGGGCAAGAAAAAAAAAAGGAAAATCATGTAGTCTATTTTTTATCCTTTGTGGTTTCTTACGTTCTTTAGGCTTCTGTTATATGACTACAGTAAACATAATGAGATTTAAAATGCAAAGTTTGAAGACAGAAACAAGGAACCAAAACCACTGTCTGAATTTATGACACTTAGAGATTTTAGCATCTCTAACTGTGCAGTAAGTAACTGCACTACTGCATAATAAAATGGAACAAGGAGCTTATTTACATTTCTTTGCCATGTTCTATGAAATGTCTCCCCTCATCTATGAACATGTAGCATGAGACACCATAAAATTTTGTTCTAGCTGTAATGAGCATCTCTCTACGAAAATCACTGAAATTGACTTCAATCATATTGCTTATTGCTGATTATGTCTATCTTTAGAAGCCCTAGGCAGATATTTCTGCTTTCCACAATTTTTATAAGACAATTCTGAAACCATCAACCCAATTTTGCTTCATGTTATAAGTGGTAAATTTCCATTTTGATGCTGTAATCAATATGAAATGATCAGACTCAACTTTATGTGTAAGACATTGATATAAAATAAGAGAGTAATATGTACTTTGACTAACATGTGATGCCAGTCCTGAAGAACTTCTGTTCTCTGATCAGCTAGGCACTGAAATAGGTCTTTAAATGTGCTGCACCGCAACTTGTCAGGAAATACAAAAAGACACAGAAATATCCAGGGGATTTCCCAACTCTGGATTGACTTATTATTTTGGTTTGTAGTAAAGTAGGTGCTCGTTAGAACTATGGTATGTAGCTTCACAATTTACATAAATAGATTTTTAAAAAACATTAATTACCTTCGAAGATTTTTTTCTTTTTTAGCATTCGAATTCCCATTAGAATTTGCTGGCTAGTACCTCTTTGCTACAGCAGGGACAATGAAACATACAAACACTACTGCAGTTTTTATATCCAGTTCAAATATCGAGGGCAAATATGTTTTTTAAGCTTGTTCCTTTAGGACCCTGGGGAATGGAGTTCAGAAACTCATTTATTTGTTAAGCATCACCAATTTCTTTGGTGTTTAAGTAATAAAAATAGTAATTTGCTTTACCTCTGAATCATGCCCTGACTCCCACTGTCTGTTCTGGCTGGTTTCCTCCTGGAGGCCTCCTATGGGGACCACTGGTGAGGTTTCATATAACTGTAGTCTACCAGGGATTCAATAGCTCTTCCAACACTGGGCTGCTGTTCAGCATCTGCTACTGGACTCACAGAACCTGAGCAGGGATCTATTAAAGGCATAACATCCTGGTGTGGGAATAAAGGGTAATTCACCCCTACGGGAGGGGTGAGTAGATAAAATTTAAGGAAAGAATTACTGTTTTTCTCTTCAAAGCTGGAAAAGCCATGATTGCTCTCAAGACCCCTCACAACAGGCATGTACATCTTCTTTAACACTCTTGGATACTGTTGGTGATCATCTTGTAAACTCTTTCAACTGGTAAGGCAGACTTTTCAAAGGCACTTTCAATGGCCTTTCAGGTCCATCAGAAAATAGTCATTCTCTCCTATCATCCTTATGTGGCAGTAAACTTAAAAGATGCAACTTGCCCCTGTTTCTTCAAGTTTCTGAAGTTCCAGCTAACAAATCACTGTAAAACTAGAGGTCATTCTCCAGAATATCAGTGCATAGAAAAGCATGGCAGTCGTTTAAGTACTGAATTCTTTCCTGAAAAGAGATTTATCAAGTATGGTACAAAAAGAACAGAGCCATTGAACGCGCACAATTTTTCTGTTTCTTGGTAATGATGGAAAAAACCTTACAATGAAATGTCTCCTGGTGTGAAACGTGGTTCACGAGTACCACTGTAACCCAGTCCTTCAAGGGACATACATAGCAAATTGCAATGGCACTAGATGTTACTGACTCATTTAGTAGAGACAAAATGAAGAAGTTTTCAGTCTCACTGACAATTATATGGTGTTTTCATTGAAGAATTTTAAAATAAACTATTCTGTTGCTATAGAAATCACAAACATTAATTAAATTGAAACACAGATTTAGCACAAAAAATTTATCAAACACAACCACAGAGAAATGCAAATCCAGAAAACTTACAATTATTATTTAGAATAAGTAAAACACATTAACATCAGAGTTTTCCATGCAGCTCAGTTATCTCCAGAGCTTTGCCAGTTGTTCTATCAGGTTGACAAATCCATTAATGTCTCAGCTCAGAATAAGCAGCACTCATTTCCTGATTCCAAGGTTGATAGTATGTATCTAGAACTCTAAACAAAAGCAGTCTTATTTATAGAGGTCCTCTCCGAATGAGTTCAGTACCAACTGCAAAGGTCTGGCTCTTCAGAAAAATCAAACTATGTTTATTTGGACAGCTTAATTCAGATTATGGGGGCCTTTATTTTATGGCCTTGTCAGGAGAAATTGGGGCAGAGAATCTGATAACTCCCTCATTTATTTTAGTCTCACACAGATGTAACTTCTCTGAAATCCTAACTTGCTTCTGATTAACACAAAATTAGAAATGAGCCTAAAATTTATTACAGTACGGGTTTATAGCAATAAAAAGATGTGTTCTGTGATGCAGAATCATGGTGGGGGGTTTTTTTGAGTAGTTTGCTGATGGAGCAGAATAAAGAAATAAATAAACACACCTTCCTTCTTTATCAAGGTTGATTTCATATCTAGATCACAAGAATTAAAATGTGTAAAAAATGACAGCTGAGGATATTTTATATGCCGTATGGGGAGTGTAAGGCTAAGACAACACTCTGAAGACACAGAACTCTGTCTGATACATCCTGCTTTCTATCACAGTTGTACATTTACCTGAGTGAAATGAAACTTCCAAAATTTGACTTCTGTCAGTAACAAGCCTTTAAAATGCCATACTGGTGTCTATATTTACTGACACTCTGTAATCTCCATACCAAATATAATCAGTTTTACACTAGAAATTACATTCAGTGTTGCAGATTGACTTTTTCCTCCATACCTTCTTACCTCCTCCTGGAAAGCTTTAGAAAGAGATGACAGGAGAGGTAAAGACATGGGAACCAGGTAAAGCATAGGATGGAAGACATTGCAAGGATGACTCATTTTTTGTTGCATTCATTTTGTAGAGTGAAATGCAATTTAAACTTTACGTTAGATTTTGTTTACAGGGATTCTGTCCAGTTTATCCTGGGAAGTAAATTTGCCGAGGAAGGCTGAATTATTTCTGCTGTAAGATCTGAAGTGATCTGTGCTTTTAAAGAAGCACATGGATGAATTTGTCACGTGTCCAAGCTAATCCTCTTTGCTAGATGTCTGTCTTTAGGATGTCTGTTTTAGGATTCCTGTGGAGCAGTCTTTTTTGCTTCTTTGACAAGAAACAGCTAGTTTCCGTCTCTGGCACAGTAACAACATACTGAATCTTTCAATAAAGTGACATTTTCCTGTCAGACTTTATTTGCTTCCCAGAAAACTCCTCGTGTCTTCCCCCCCCTTCAAAAAATCCCTTCTCTACACTACTACACATTAAATACTCGTATGCCACAGGAACATGCAAGTGTCCTGGGATTCCAGACACTTCGATTGCTCTCTTGCAGCACCGCAATGTAGATGGAGCAGCAGAGCTGTAGGTGCTCATGACAGTGACTGGATCAGCGAAGTTCTTTGGTTTTGCAGTGGAAACTTCCTTGGTTGCTTTTTTTCAGGAACAACTGCCAGGAGTACGAGGCCAGTTCCCTATGTCTCTGGCCGGGTGCACTCCGCACTGCCGCAGGCCTGGCTGTTTCAAAGGAGCTGCCCCTGGAGCGGCGATGGATTGGGATTAAGTAACTGGTCTCAGCGGCGGGATGATTTTGGATGGCGCTGCGGCGACAGCAGCAGCAGATGTTTCCCTGGGGTTTGAGGATGTGAAAGCCTCCCCTCCCCTGCCTTCCCTTCCCCGCTTTCGCCAGAAATGCAGAGCTTGGCACTGCGGCTTGGAAAGCCCCGCCGCCGCCTTCCCCGCTGCAGATCCACGGCCGGGAACGATGCGCCCTGAAGGGCCTGGCGGGGCACGGGGCCTCCTCCCTTTCCTCGGGCTGCTCCTCCTCCTCCTGTATCACCTCCTCCTTCTGCCGCCCATCTTGCCCAGACAACCAATCCAGGTACCATCCTGGGTGACGCGGCGCCGGGCCGGGGGTTCGAACCATAGGCCGCCCCTTCCCGGCTGAGTCCAACCATTAACCCGGCACTGCCGAGCCCGCCACTAACCCGTATCCCTTCAGTGCCGCATCTACACGTGTTTTCAACATTTCCAGGGATAGTGACTCCACTGTTTCCCTAACAGCCTGTTCCAATGCCTGACCAGCCTTTCAGTGAAGCCATTTTTCGTAATATCCAGTCTAAAGCTCCCCTGGTGCAGCTTGAGGCCATTTCCTCTGGTCCTGTCACTTGTTACTTGGGAGAACCCTCTTTGCAGCCTGGTAGTTTTAAGGTTGTGTTGCTGTCTGGGACGTGCTTTTTCATAATACAGGAGCTCTGCCCTTTAACATCCAGCTTTACCCCTGCGGGTTTAGTTTTACACCTGCCAGTGCTTTTCCCATCTACATTCACCATATTTACCAGTGGGATTAAACTTCCTTTCCACATATTTGGAGATTAATGCAGGAAAGCTAAAGAATTATCTAATTTGTCTAATTTGATCTTTGTTTTTTTTTTCTCCCCCACAAAAATGAGCAGTCAGTGCTGTGGGGAGGGGTTTTTCTCCTCCCTATGTATCAAAGAACCTGTGTGATGGGGTGGGGGTAACACCACAGGTGAGTTGAGTGGGTAGTGAGTAGCTGGTAATGCTGGTATCCAGCTGAAGCAGCTGCATCACTTGGTCAAAGGCTCTAAGGTACAGAAATAGTTATGTGTTAGGACTGTACATTTCTGGTGTTCTAGTGCTTATTTTGTACCCACTGTGTGTATACTTGCAGCTGTCAGCGGCCACCGATGGGGAAATTCCATCATACAGTCTCCTGAGATTGGGAAGGGCCTGAAACGACAGTCTCTGCTTTCTACTGAGGTTTTGAAATTTGAACATGGTTAGTTGCTTAGGTTTTCTGATAGTATTAAACTAGGTTATTTAATTTGTACATTAGTATGCATACGTGCCAGATTTTATTCTATGGCTTGGTTGTGACTGAGTTTCACCAACTCCTTTAGAAAGTCAAGGTCTTTTCCAGGAGCGAGATCAGAAGTGAAGTTCAAAGTTCTTCTACTCCCTGACAAAAAAGGGAAAACCATATGCAATACTTCAGTATATATTCCCTGAAATGTCATAATATTCTTCTGTATCTGATTTTAGTAGGCATAGTAGACATTGTCAGCTTCAGAAGAGACACTTCAATTTTATTGCACTTGGGTGTTATTAATATAATATTATTTCAAACTGATATAAAAAACATGATTTTTTTTTTTTTTTTAGTTTTTACTTACTAATGCGGACAGTTCTGGTGTATGTGTTTTTCCTTAAGTGAATAATTAAACTTTCTGAGGACAATGTTTCTTAAAATGTTTTAATTACATCTGAGTTTTCTTAGTCATCTTACTGAAAATATACAACCCTGTAAACTTAAGCATACAATATGATAAGCAAAAAAAGTCTCCTTTTTAACTTGTGAAATGCATTAGTGGTGTAATTGTCAGAAAGAAAATATGAAGGCCCACTTGAAATCATAATATAGTTCATATCTTGCAGGCTTTTTGTCAAAAAGGTTAAACTTAACTGAGACAGACTGAAGTTCAGTTTCTCCCATATGACTTCAATATGACTAGTAATAGAAATGGTAATATTTGTGCACACAACATTGGTAGGCAGCTTAAAAATGCCAGCTGTAATTAAAATACTTGGATATAGAAAACTGCTTGACTTTAGCATGATTGAACAAAAATAACTTAAGTAGAATCGTTATTTATATAATCCTCTGGTGCAGAAATCCCTTTACGAAAAACATAATTACTTTGAAAAAACTTTTAACAGTTACCATAACTTAAATATTTTCCTATCACTTTATAGAATTTTCATTTCTAAATAAATGGATTGGAATTATGCCAGCTGAACATTATAATAATACAGAATTTTATTAATTAATGAATTGATTGTTTAATTATTTAAGGCTCGTTTTAAACTGTTTCCTGCCAATGCAATTTTCTGACTGAGTTTTATTCTTTGATAAGTTATTGTGAAGATGATTGATTTTGCAATGTAATGCTCATTTTAAGGCTAAAAGATTCAGGATAAAATATTTTATGAAATTGTAGAATATACTTGATGAGAAAACTTTTCACAGGGTGAAATTTTTCTTTCAACTCAATGGGCATAAGAATGAATGTTAATTCAATAAGTACTAATCTGCCAGATTCCTCCTATGGGCAAGAAATGGGAAGAGAAGCCCTCTTTATCTGAGACTGTTGTAACTTTCTCCTCAGGGAGGAGCAGGAAGGGTTGTTTTTCTGTGCAGGTACAACCCACCTGCTATTGTCATCTTGAACTGAGACTCTTCCCACTCTATGCAGAACCTGAAATACATGAGCTCAATTTCTCTGTGTTTAAATAGAATCTGCACAGCTGCCCAAGTAGATTTTAAATGCATTGAACAGGATATCAGCATTTTACACTTAAATTTAACTCACTTTTTGGCCTGTTTCAGTGGCATAAATTGGTAGTAAAGCTGTTGAATTGAACTCAGTCTGATTTCAAAGTTGCCCAGTGAATCCTCAAGTAACAGATACTTTATATGGCAAATGTACTGTTTGGGGTACATTCCAGTCTTTAGGAATGGCTCTTCAGGCAGCTGGGAGGTTTGAACTACCCTGGACTTGGGGGTGAATTACTCCAAACTTCTGTGTGTCTGATGGGGATGTAAACTATTTTTCTTCATCTGTATTCTTCTGCAAAAGGAACTGTTGCTTACACCTTGTACAATGCCCGTAGGAAGTACAAGATGATGAGGAATCAGACCCTATACATTTTTAGTGTATTTGGCTGCTTAAAAAACTTAATTTTGGGAATTAATCCAGAAACTCATTTATTTTGCTCAAAAATGACTGAAACAAATGACTTTTCGCAGTGCTTATTAGGTACAGGTTCACATTGAAGGGAAGGAATAACATAATTAATGACTTTAAAATGTGGTTTAAGCAGTTCTCTTTCATTTATTTTTTGTTGCTCTTTCTGTGGGACTTAATGACCTCTTGATACTTTTTTTTTTTTCCTGTGGAAAGGATCTTTTTAACCTGGTCACATGCACTCTTAATACACAGACTGAGAATGGGAAGATCATTTGTCCTGGACACTGCTGCAGAAAGTACCATTTAAATTCCAAAGGAATTCCAGAAGGAAATCTAAACAAAAAGTTCTGAAAACATTTTGAAAGAGAGTGTCAAATGTTAGGGAAAGAGTGTATAAGAGTTCATACGCGGACAGAAACATTTACTCAGTGAAATGGCTGCTATGCAAGTGAAATGTGTATAGACATGAAAGAGCATTTAAGCTTAATTTCTCACAGTCTGGCATGCAATGTCATTGAAGGTAGTAAGAAAATAATTCCAGAAGTTTTACATTATCTTTCTTCGGTAACTATATTGCCTTCATGTTTTTTATTTCTTTTAAAATAAACAGTTCAAGAGCTCCATCTTCGGGTTTAAGTTATTATTGTAAAAGAATATTACTTCCCTTTGGCATTGATTAGGTAGTGCCTAAACATCCTATAAAGTTATGTATATCTTATGTTACATTCATACCTTGTCAGTTTGCAGTGCTTAACATTTCTAGATGCATTTGTTCAGTTGCCTTTTGATAAACTTTGAATACTTTCTTCATAATATTGTCGGTTTTAGTTCTTCTGTCAATACTTTATTTGGTTTTGGTGGATTGTTTTTCCTTTCCAATAATGATACATAAATCACCTTGACAGTTCATAAAATATTTATGGACCATGACAGATAACAGTGGTAGAAGGAATTTTAAAAGAGGATGGTTTTCATTTAGGCTTTATTATTTGGTAGAAATTAGCATGGTTTTATTAAAATCAGAGCTTGTGCTGATTTTTGTCAAAGGGGAATCTGATCACGTTATTTTGGGAGCAGAATTTTGTTTCTTCCAGTGCAGCAGAATTATAAAAGACTTAAATATTCCAGTGAGAAATTTTTAATCCATTTTGTTTTTTAGTAAAAAACCTCCAATCATTCTAAGAGATCTTTGGGGAAAATAAAGTTATTTGAAATCTTTTGCTCCTCAAAAAGTTGTGGAAGTGGTACCTAGTGAAAAAATATTGCAAAGTAAATGAAACTGTTAATCACAGAAATCCACTATATACGAGATATTCTTATCTCATTGCCTTCTGTCTTCTTTTTTTTTTTTAACTTCTGAAGCAAATTTTTACTTCTTCCTACTTTCTAAGTATTTTCAATGGCATACTTTGCTGATATTCTGAAATGACAAGTACAGGCAGTTCTTTTAACTCACCTTGATTGTCTTGTCCTTACAGCATTAGAATTTGCATTCTGTTTTCCATAGAAAATTGCTTCTGTTTTCCATAACAACACGGTAGAGAAGTAAAACTGCCATTTTTGTAATAAAAGGGGTGAATTTATGATTACCCATTATTGCTTAAATCAAGACAAATCAAAAGAAAGCTGAGAATCGACCTTATCTCTCTCATTGTCCCCAATAAATGCCTCAATCTATAATCAATTTATGGAATTATTCATTGTTGCTTTAAATTTTTGCATATAATCTAAGTTAGCAAAAAGCACTGATCCGGTGCCACATAATTATTTAGCCCATCTTCATAAAATAATTGCTACTGATATGATCAGTATTTTATTGCTCTCTTTTGTATTTGAGACTTTCTCGTCCATTGTTACTTTCTTTCCCAGATTTCTCCAAAAGAATTAGAAATCACAATACCTTAACTCCGTGCAACCCACGTTCTTTCCAAGCAGGAGGGGGAGACAAAGAACACAAAACACTGAGAGGATAATTGCTGTCTTTATCTTTCTGCTGGCTTCAATTCTGTATCTTCAAAAACTCTGCATGAGAAGCTCAGATCTGACTTGTACTAGAATGCCACCTGAAAGATACTCCAGTTCGCTTCCAGAAGTCTTGTATGTCTTGCAAAGCTTCGCAATCTTTATGAACGTGGTTTTAATTTCTATTTAAAAT